AACCTCAACCGCCGCACCGTGAACACTAGCGATGCGAACTCGGTCGATACGTGTCCTCATTGCGACCGCACCTCCACCTCACATATCGACCTGGTCGATCACTTGCGAGTCCATCGCACAGAGACTGCGAACCAGTCCCTGGAGCACCAACCTACACTCGCAGCAGTCGCCTCTCCTGTCCACACTGTGCGTGCGCTTTTATTCACCGTATGGGCCTATTCGGTCACATGCGTATCCATAAGAGCGGAATTGACCTCAGTCTCAACACATCCTCTGGCACATCCACCATGACTAGCTCAACTGAAACCCCGCCGTCTAGCGCAAACAAAATCTGCAGCTCCACCACTACCACTATATCCGAAACCGACACCCCCGACCTCTCCTGTCCACATCGCCCCCGTACATCCCCTCACGCATCGGCCTGGTCGGTCACTTGCTAATCCATCGCAGAGAAACTGGTGAACCAGCGTCTGGGGCACCAACCTACACCCGACGAATCTGCCTTAACTGCCTTCAATGCACCCGCACATGCACCCACCGCATGGGTCTATTAGGCCACATGTGCATTCACAAAAACCTGCGGTGGACAACCGCCGGCTACACCACACCTTCCCCCATCAACACCCGCATCACGCCACATCATCACCCACCACAAGCATCCAATCGCCACCTCGCACGCAAGTGGGAAGTGTGCGTCTCGGCTCCGTCTCCATGCGGTTCCTTTGCTGCATGTGTGACTCTTGTGTGAAACTATCATGGCGCATCAAGCGCTGTGGTCTGGAAGGCCGCTGACTGACGCCCCAACTCAGTCCACGCAGTGTGTCCAGATATGTGTGTGCTTCCGTGGAGTGGCGGACTGAGAGGCTGAGAGCAGGGCTCTTCCTTAACGTGACATCTGGCACTCTCACGCATGTGAGATATACGCCGCTCAACCCCGTTCTGTGCAATCCTGGTGCTTGTGTTTGGGGTCAGGTCGTGCATGTGGCGCATGCAGACAGAGTCACTAGATATGTCAGCCACCGCACCCATTCCCCGCTCCAGTCAACTGACCGCCTCGGACGGTGGCCTAGAAATGGGAAGCAAGAGTGAGGTCGACGACTCAGCGCACTTTCCTCACTATAAGCAATCTAACGCGCCTGAAGCTATCACGGTGCGCTAAAAGCCATGACTTGGAAGGTTGCCAACTGACGGAATAACCTGAACCTTGCAGACGACCCAATGTTGTGTGTTTGTGTGTAGTGGCCGGCTGGTGGTGTGAGAGTCAGGCGGAAATGTCTCCTTCTTAATGTGGCCTTTATGACAGTCCCACTCTGTGGGATCCGAGCCGGGTGTGGCGACACTCCTAGGCGCGGTTTCGGCCGTGCCAGCTTCCATTCTTTTGTCGTTGTTGGTTTAAATCCTGGTCAAGTGTGTGTTGTGGACCAGGAGGTGTGGAGTGGAGCGCCAAGGTGCGGGCTCAACCGTGCCACCCACCTACGCCCTTCCGCGCCTTCGGTCTTCTTGACTTTGTCTTGAAACCGGCTCCGGGTGGGGGAGGAGGAGAGGGTGCGGTGAATGTAGCGCAAGCCCACTATAATTATAAATTAATTCACGCGCAAGTCACCGTCCCTGCTTTACCTTGGTGTGGGGCACACAGTAGACATCGCAGGAAACGAGGTCAAACTGTCACCGCCGGATTTGCTTATTCTAAACGGATCGGTGACCATGATCACGATAGTAAATGGAAATCAGTGATACAAGCCGTGTTGAAGACCTGGAACTAAGACGGTTAAGGGCTTTGAACTGTAGGGTAATCCAAAATAAAGGCCAGAAATAAACGAAACGATCAGATTTTCATTTCTGACCCTTTTGAGTCGGCGGGTTTAACTGTCTCATTTGCTCTCCTTGAATCTAAAATTAGGGTCTCGAGTGCGAAAAGACCATTTTTATGGATTTACAACAGGAAGATTTCTCACTATTAATAGGGACCCTTTAATGTTTCTTTTATTTGCAAGTTTGCATTAAAATTTCGAAAGTATTCCATAAATGATACCGCACTATTACGGTTTGATGACGTAGGCAATTCGAACAGGAGAATGAAGCAAACTGGTTTAAGAATATGGCAATTTCATACTATGATAATCTAGACCTTTAGCCATAGCATCACTTTGGGAGTGAAAATGCGAGCTCAGATTAACCTGAAGACTTCCTGTCCCAGTTTATTAAGGAAAATAGGATGTGCAGACCCGTAAGTATAGAATGAACTGACGTCTGGAGTGAAGACGCCAGCCCAACTATCTGATAGACTAACAGTGCCGCGATGCGCACCTTATGCTTGCAACAGTCTGCACTGAAGTAAAAATATGCTCGAGTTAAATATAGCAAGTGCGGTTAGTGACATAGCCGCATACGTTAAAAAGGTTCAAGGCCTGCATG